AAGAGTGATCGATTGATGGGTCTCTTTCTGGCCGGCTGGACCGTGAGCTAGTTAGTTAGGTTAGGGGTCGTGCAAAGTGATAGACAGACAAGACAAGACAGAAAGACAGGCAACAATCGAGGCGGAGATTCCAGGCGTGGGAGAGGGAATCTTGGCGTCTGGTGAGCCTGCCAGGTTGCCCGAAACGCGTTGTTAATTGATGTTCGCGACTGGGATTTCGCGTCCCGCACGTGTGGTGGATTATGTAAGGACCCCCCTAGTTCACGACCACTAGATTTCTTAGCCCACCTTAGTTCATCTTTCTATATCGCTGGAGCTTTGCATGCAGAGTTCCTGTCCGTTAGATGTTGGATTTGGGTCTATTCGATGGTTGTACTGAGTGTGAAGCTACCGGTCCATTGGTTCACTATGCGCTGACTCCGCCTAAGTCCGTGCAAACTTACAACAGCTCTCCTTAACACCGTCTACTTCGCTATTGCGATCAATGTGGTGATATGTACAATAGTATTATTATTACTTTGCTCATAAATCCATCGGACGCCAATTTGGTGCAAGGGGTGCGAGTTCAAGTAGCAAGCAACCCTTACAGCACAGCAAAAAGCGCCAATAACATGCGGTGAGGGGAATAGAACAAGTTCAAGTCAATCAGTTGAGGGGCATCTTGCCGTCGTAAAGCAAATCAAGGCTGGAGGGCATTGCCGGATCGTTGCACCAGACATGGGTTACAAGCCCGAGTTTGCAGGACGACAGTTTAGGAAAAGAAAGGAAAGAGGCGTAGAGCGCGAATTCGATACGGACTGCATAGTCGATGCAGCGCCAAATATCAGTGTATGTGAAAGGAATAAGCCCAGCAATGAACAAACTGCATCTCTAATCACTCAAATCGGGGTTCGCCACGAAAAGCCGGACATTGGTCATGGACGTCGTTCGATCATCTACACTGCCTCGGCGCCGCAGTTCATCCGCCTTCTTCGCCTTGTCGATCGCCGCAGAAGCTGCACTTGGTGCGGCCATGTCACTCACGGTGCCAAAGTACTCTTCGTGCTCACTACCGAAACTGTTTGTTGTAGCAGCATCATCCTTAATGGAGGCGTGGTCCTGCTCAGCTTCGTGGCTTTCCGCTGGTGGGTGCTCGGAGACATCAGGGAGGTCGGTCTTCTCATTAGGAGGCGTACTGGTGCTCCCCATCGTGCTCTGCGGAGTACGTTGGTAGCCACTGGGATAGCGAGAATTGCTACCCAGGGAACTGCGACCGCTACCGGTCCGGCGATAAGGGAAGCCTCGGTCACTGTGTGCATCCTCATCTGCATCACCGACCTCGTTCGCACTGAGCCGAACCGGGACAGTAGCGCCGACGAGTGTTGAGGGGGAGAAATCAGTGGTTCCCTTGCCGCCGTGCTTGTTCTTGCCGCTTCCAAGGGTACCCGTGCGCCCGGCGCCTGCGCCGTGGACTTCCAGGTACGCCCGCTTCTTATCGACCAGCTTCTGCGCTCGTATCCGAGGATCCTCGGGCTGTGCCCGGTCACACCATACTGTCGCCTTTTGTCTCCGCATCAGAGCCACATAACCCAGCTGAGCATTGGCGGAGCGGGACGAAGTGCTGCGGCGTATATCTGTCTGTGGGTTACCGCCGTAGTTAACATTGCCGGTGGAGGTCGTAGATGTGGTCGCACTCGATAACCGCCTGGAAGGGGGGTAATTGGGTGGACCGGTCATCGTATGATGTGGTGAGGGTCCCGCAGAGTATGCCTGCTGCTGTTGTGCCATGTAGGGTAGCACATGGGAGGAAGAGGTTCGCCGGCGGTTGTGCGCAAGGGAGGCGGCCGATGGATGGGGAGAAAGCTGCTGGTGGTGAGGCCCGTCATAGGCCTGGTAGGGAAAGCCGGAATGCATTCCGGCAACTGGTTTGCGAGCCGGCGGCGGCTGATGATGCATTGGGAGTCGATAGTCGGTCATGCTGGGCTGTTGTAGCTGCACACCAGCCATCTAGGCAGAGCTCGATCGGTAAACGAGGGGGGAAGACGAGGAACTGTGGTGACGGTTCCCACTGCGGGTGGTGGCGGAGATTGCAGGGGTAGCCACAGAGATAGATGAAACAAGATTGTAGTGAAGCGTCGACCAGTGATCCCCGCGATTTCTGGACAGGAAAGGGAAAGTCGTAGATCGTGTGGGAGAGTGGTTTTTGAGGATCAATGAGCGGCCAGCGGCTGGGTTGTCGTACCGGACAGGCAACCGAATCCGAGGCGCGAAGAAAGGGAGAGGGACCGACCCAGCTGATACAATGGGAATGTGGTATCGGCGCTAGAATAGAAACGGCCTCTACCAAGAGGTTGCAAGCGCTTCAGAAGAGGCGGGCGCTTGAGTTGTTAGGGAGAGAGAGAGAAGAGGGGAGTGAATAAGATGACGCTGGCAGTGGTAGTGTTGGAGTAGCGGTGCTGAGAGAGTGCAAGACGCAGCAGACAAACAGACTCGCTCAGTCACTCATGCACACGAGGGCTGGCAGTTGGCGGGTACCCAATATTACCAAGTCACACCTGCAGGGGACATTGATAAAGCCGTGACCCGGGCACTACTTTAAGACCGACGCTTAACAGAAGGTACTAAGGAAGTAGTAGTAGCAGCAGCAGCAGCAGCAGCAACAACAGTAGTAGTAGGAGACAGTGCTGACGCCCGGAATCCAACCACACAAGTCACTCACACACAGTCACTTTTCAGTGTCTCTGTCTTGTGATAAGAGTTATCTCTGACAGTGATTGATCACAAGGCGATCGAGGCAGACCAGGTAAATAGAGCAATGAAAAGAGGGAAGAGAAAGAGAGGCGGGGTTGAAAGGACTGGAGACGAGCGAAATGAAGGGAAAATGAACGAACGGTTGAACAACGGACTTTGGAGGCGATCGATCGGGAAAAGAAGATGGGAGAAAAGAAAGAGGAGCGTGAACTTTGGTTCTGAAAAACCCAGTTGTGACCGTCAGACGGGGTGGTACCGAATACGACCCTCCGGTACAAGGTACCATTGATACCGCCCCTTACGGAACCCCAGGCAAACAATGGAAAGTACCTGCACAGCCACAGATGCACCAGGGATGGATGGGCCCTGTAGACAAGGAAATGCAGGCAATCGACCCAGAGAGCTACGAATCTACCCTAAAGGGAGCTTGGGAAGCTCCCTTTCTCCTTTTGATTTGCTCTGTCTATCTTCCGATGTCTCAAAAGCAACACCTTGTTAGCGCGCGATAAGCTGTAAGACACGATCGTCAGGAGACATCATCTTACTGCGCCACACCACGCACGTGGGCCAGGAAGGGTATCATTGATACATAGACGATACCGGCCAGTGATACCGCACTAGGCAATCGCGGGAGATACCGTCGGTCGATGATACGGTACCTTACTACCACAAGGAACCGGATTGTACCAAAACCAGACAGCAGCAAATTAATGACGTCTATTACCCCACTGCTGAAACATCCGGAAGGCCGGCAGCACTGCAATTCTTTCTGATGATTTGGGGCTGAGGAGATGGGGAAGGACAAGATAGAGGAATTGTTTCACTGAGGTAGTCATGCATTGACGTATAACGGGCGCAGGAAGGCAAACCGAAGACGGTCAGAGGGGATCGGAGTGACCGGTTAGGCCGAGAGGTAGGGAGGCGAGAGAGGGAGAGAGAGAGAAGGGGGGTAGGTAGTAACTCTACACTACAGTTGGTTGCATTCGATCAAGGTACTTACAAAATACTACTAGTTACTACCGGGGAGACTCGTAAGCACAGGAAGTACTTCTTCTTCTACAGTTGGTACAGTTGGTAAAAGTGGGTATTATTTCCAGGTATTCAAGCAGTCTTTTGTTCATAAAAGAGAGATTTTCTTGCTCACAAATTACCGCAGCCGGATACATCTCCAGGCAACCCTTTACTAGTATTGCATAAAAAGTACTACTTTGTACTCTTGTGAACCAGGGATGGAGACAGGGTGGAACCTCCCATACCGGGAAGGGGGGTACTTTGCTAGCAACAAAGTAGATACTTTAGTAACTTTACTGAAGTGGTACCTTTCCAAAACGGAGACGAGTTCCGCGGCGTAACCGAAGGGGGGGATGGAAAAGGAAAGGGAAAGTGACGTGACGATGACTGCGAGAAAAGTTGCAACTTTCGCACTTGCACGAGACTAAACTAGTCCCGACTAGTCCGAACTGTTACGGCCCCCCCGCAATCCTACTAGAAGGAAAAGGAAAGAAAGAAAAAAAAGTATGTTACATCCGGGCGCTGGCTGTAACGCTCATTCCCCAACCGGGATCCATTGTTCAGCTAGCCATCGTCGTCGCTGTCTCTCTTCCTCCCCTCGTGCTGGCATGGCATGCAATTTCTCTCGGCTCTTCTCCGTTGCTTATGCCAATCGCAGCGAGAATGGAGACCACGCTGTCATGCACACTAGTCGCTATGCACGTTGGATCAGATCAACTGCATGTCGCTACGGAATGCCCGGTGGCCTTTGCCTAATCTTACTAACAACACAACAACAGTATACCGAATCCGGCTCGGGTGGCTCTGGTGCTTGTGCATCGCATCGTTGGCAAATTAGCAATTTACCCAAGGTGCAGACGGGATGAGCCTCCACTCATCGCTGGTCCTCGTCCTCGTCCGTGGTTCAACTGAAACAAAGCCATTATTATCGCTAGGGTTGAAATTCAATATGACTGGACATTATTAGTATTGACTTGTATCTAACCAAGTGCCACTGTCGGGATCTACCGTTGATCAACCTCCCCAAACATAGCTATCTACTCGTCAATGACACCACGGTGGATATGTTAAAGTTCAAATGTTGTGCGGTTGACCCTCGTCGGCTACTTGCTTATTCGCCAGTTCGTCAAGCTGCTCAGCCTTACGCCACTCTCCAAGCCTCATCGACCCAGGGCCTGATCAAACTCAACGTGCATTTTTGGAACATGGCCTCGTATCGCGTCGACACCGTTGCGCGAAATACCGTACCACCGTTGCTATCAGAGCTTCGCTTTGCCGTCCGGTAGCTTCACTAGCGCTCCATCGCGCCTGACATCATAATCGCGGCCTTTCTTCCACCCCAGCCATGTTTTGAGTGTCTCTTCGCCCCCAGTGCCAGGTATCAGGCCACCCCCGGTCCAGCCTCCGTCGTCGGCCGGAATCGGGAGCCCGGGAGTTTCCACTAGATGGACGACGGGCCGTTGCTCATAGCCACTTTCCTCGAGCTCATCTTGTTCCAACACAGGTGTGGCGCAGGCATCTGTCCCATCGAATACGGCCTCCCACTCCGCCCGAGTCTTTTCTTTGAACCGCTTAGCGAAGGCAGCCCGCAGCGCAGGCCAGTTGTCCTTGTTATCCCGCGGCGGAAGCTCTTCGGGGTTCAATTCGAGCCCCTTCAACAGAGCATCGTAAAACTGCGGCTCCAACGCACCCACTGCGAAATACTTTCCCTTGTCCTTGGTTTCGTATGTGTCGTAAAACGGGCTGCCTCCGTCCAGCGTATTCTGACCGCGAGGCGCATCCCAGAAGGGCGTTTGTCTGCCCAACCGTGGCATTGCAGCCAAATACGCAGAGCCGTCGACCATGTTTGCCTCGACGACCTGGCCGCGTCCGGTGTGCGTGCGCGATATCAATGCCAACAGAATCCCCAAGAAGCATGTGGCACCTCCACCAGCAAAATCGCCCAGGAGGTTGAGCGGGGGGTAAGGACGTTCTCCCGACCGACCTATCATAGACAATACCCCCGCCACAGCAATGTAGTTGATGTCGTGACCCGCCATATCCTTGTATTTGCCATCGCGACGGAAACCCGTCAAACGAGCCACAATCAAGCGGGGGTTATGTTTCAGAAGCACCTCCGATGGTGACAAGCCTAGTCGCTCCAGAACGCCGGGACGATATGGATCAATCAGGACATCGGCGTCCTTGAGGACGGAGAGGAGCACACGATGGGAGGCGGGTTCTCGGAGGTCAATGGTAGCGGACGTTTTCCTGCGAGTCAACTGGTCGGCGCTCTTAGCTTTTGGTCGGTCGATTCGCAATACGGAGGCTCCATAGTCGGCAAGTAGTAGTCCGGTGAAGGGGCCTGTGTAGACGTCATGTCAGTATGCCGAGAGGCGTCTCCGACGAAGGGGGTGACAAACGAACCGGGGGCTAGGCCAGCCAGCTCGACCACACGGAGGCCATCGAGAGGAGCGGGCATTTTGTAAACCAAATTGAATAACTCAGATATGTACTGACAATAATAGCAGCGATGAGACAGGTTGTAGCACTGCCAGCAGCGCGATGGTTGATACTTGGATTGCTGGGTGATCCAGACAGCGGCTTTGCTTCTCCGCAGCCGAGGTCCGGGGCACGTGCGGGGAACCTCACTACACTCCAATACAAGCTGGACTTGTGTAGCTTGTGCAACTAATATGACTCCATTGAGTGATTACTCGCTCAACATATATCCCCATGGTATAGTTATAAGATGCATGCAATTAATAATCCCAAATGCTGGGTGTGTGGGTGAGATGTTCTTCCGTTTTATATCGTTGGATAATTCAATTAGATCCGATATCTTTTCAATCACAGCTTCAGATTAATCCCTAAGAGGATAATAATTATACCAAAGAAACCAAATTAGAGCATCTACCGAATGCCGAAGAGCTGAGGTGTAATCTTTAACATGATCAATAGGATCCAAAGAGATATGCAGAGCAACTGTTCATCATAAATATACCCGAAGCAGATGGTTCCATGAGCTTCGCTGCGTTGCGTAGCACATGCTACTAACTGTTTCTTTTCTTTGGCCTTCGGAATAACTGTTAAAGCTTGCCTTCTAGCATTAATCATTCATGATTAGCATTCCCTTAGGACCTCGGAAGATGTTTCCATCCATCTACACCAAATATGATTATCTCAGATGCAACATCGACCAATTCTGTATTCAACTCAAATTGAACAAAAATGCTTATAACCCAACAAATAGAACCACACTAATATGCTAAAAGATCATCCAATCTACCAACTGTCCTCGCGGCCCTCATACTTGCCCTCATCATACGCATCCTCCATATTATCACCGAAGCGCTCCACAGATCCGACTTTCTCGCCAGCCCATCCGGCCACATCCTCAGGGATTTCCTCGACATCATCGACGGCGTTGTCCCATTTGCGCTCGATGCGATCGGGGATCTCTTCGACTTCCTCGACCTATCACAACCATCAATATCAGTAAAGAGCAACAAAACAGGAAGTAGTAGTGCAGGGATCAAACTCACCTTCTCACCCGTCCATCTAGCCGCATCCTCAGGGAAGTCCTCCACATCTTCCTTGATATCCTCCTTGTCTTCCTCCCATTTATCATCTAATGCAACCGCAATATTAGCCACATGCAACCACACCTCCTACCCATAGAGTACTCCGTAAAAAAGAAAGATAGAAGGGATATACTCACGAATCATCTCTCCTCCAACAACCGCCGCTCCACCAAGCAACACTCCGGCACCAACACCCAGCGCCATATTGCGTCGACTGTGGTCAGGGCGCTGTTGCTGCTGTTGTTCACCATAGTATCCACCCTCCTGACGGGACTCGTAGCCACCACCATAACCTCCCTCCTGGCGGCCATAACCCTCACCACCGCCATAGCCACCTCCGTATCCGCCCTCCTGGCGTCCATAGCCCTCACCACCGCCGTAGCCACCACCATAGCCGCTGCCGCCGCCGTATCCTCCTTCTTGACGACCGTAGGATTCTTGACGGCCGTAGCCCTCACCACCGCCGTAGCCACCGCCATAGGACTCCTGACGACCGTATGACTCTTGACGGCCGTAGGACTCGCCGCCGTAACCACCACCACCACTGCCGTAGGATTCCTGACGACCGTAGGATTCGCTCTGGTAGGATTGTTGCTGTTGTTGGGAAGAGGAGGAGCCGCCGCCGCCACCGAATTTCTTTTCGATGACTTCTTCGGCCATGTTCTTGAGGAAGTCCATTTTGGGTGGAGTTTCTTTTGTGGATAGGGGAAGGTAGTAGAGTAGAGTCGAGTAGAGGAAAGAAAAGTGGGATGAGTAGTGTATGTCAAAGTAGAAGAAGAGGAGAAGAAAATAAAAGTGGGAAAGAAAAGGCCAACAAAACTACTTATAGTCTTCTTAGTACTACAGTAATAATAAATAATCACAACCCCCAAAAATAAAGATAAAGTGGGGTCCGATCCGATAGGAGATATACACATTACACACAAAGATAGATGATAGTTAGTTAGTTTGTTACTTAGTTAGTAGAGATAGTCTACTAAACTTACTTATTATGGCATGAATTGTGGCTGTTCACTACTTAGGTGGGCAAATTCAGGAGAATTGCCTACTTTGTACTAGAAAAGTAAGACACAAAAAGAGGGGCAAGGGTCCCTCCCTCTCATTGTTCGTTCTCCAATCTCGGCTGTTTCATTTTAGCATATCCACCCAGTGCACCCACCCATAATGACTCTCACTTAGTCTACCAGTTCCATTTTCAGTTCCTGTTCAGGGGGGAAGAGGGGCGGGCCAAGAAATGATTGATTACTTGATCATCCCATGCTAATTTACCCCAGTGGTGGTGGTGGTGGTGGTGGCTATGCTCCCGGTGATCGATTGTGGCTTGGTCACTCACTCACTCACTCACTCACTCCGTGCATCATCAATCATGGCGGTGTTTTGTTTTTTCTGATATGCATGGATTAATTTTAGTGCGGTATGGTATCATCGTATCTACTTATACAGTAAGTAGTATGTATTGTATTACTAGTTATGAACTGGAATACAAAACTACCCAACATCTTGCGATTAATACGCAGAGAAAACAATCCTCTTGCGCTGTTCATCACTTCCTTCATCCGGCTTAGCCGCCCCGGGGGGCCGAAGTTCTCCTTAGCCTATCGTTGTGCCATGCGGTGGTCGATGACCTTGGGGGGGCCAGGCCATGGCCACACACCATCTTTCTCTAGGTCAGATGGGAATCAGGCATCAATCGACCGTGTCTAGACACAGTCACGATGACTTGTCTTCCACTCAAAAAAGCCTGAGAGAAAGTTTGAAACCATGGCTGAAACTTCAGGGTCTCGAGATCCATCGTACAACGCATCACTTCCCCCTCCATATCACGCCTTGGCACATCCGGATCGTCCCGTCTTGGCTGATCTTGGCTGCCTGGGGCATTACTGGGATTTCATATGTTTTGATTCCTTTGTGGATTTGAAAGAATGGCATTTTGTTTATGGCTAAGTAATATACTGGTCGTAAAGTGTACAGCTAGATCGCTGGGAGAATGAAAGTTAAATACATGACAGAGGGTAAGGTGGTAGTATCATCCTGAGATTAAGCATTACATCCCAAGCACTTGGTCCAAGTGACTTGTGGGTTCTCATGGCGAAAGTATTTCGTAAGCTAGGAAGCACGTCGTCTAGATGGCTGCCAAGAGGAACAGCGCAAACGCTGACACTGCACCTGCACCGTGTTGCAGTTGTGACACCCGTGAAGCCGCGCCCGTGAATACGGGCGACACGCCGGCGGCCGTGCCGCTGGGAGCCACAGGCACTCGGGATCCGCTCTGGGATGGCTGGATATGGAAGGTCGATGAGGCACGGACGCTGCCGGTTCCAAGAATTACCGGCTGGCTGGTTGACGATTGGCTCGGGGCCACAATGACCGTCGCAGTCGTGGTGGGGGCTGTTGACGCGGGAGCTGTAGGGGCTGTAGGGGCACTTTGGCCGGGCAAGCTCTCTCCGGTAGACTGACTACCAGAAGGATTGGCAGTCAACGCATCAACACCTGTGGCAGCGCTGACGGGAACCGTGACCGTGACCGTGGTAGGTGTAGGACCACAGTCGGTGCAGACACTGACCGTGGTGGTCCAGTCTTCAGGAGAGTTCGGTGCGCTGGTCGAGGATGCCAGCCCTGACGGCCGATTGGTGGCCGGCAAAGTAAGAGTGACAGTAGTCGGTGTGGGAGCGCAGTGAGTGCATACGGTCACAGTCGTCGTCCAGCCCTCAGGGACACTGGGACTAGTGGTCTGCGCTGGAGCGCCGGGAGGGTTGGTGACGGTGGCTGTGGCAGACGCCGTTGCAGGACAGTAAGTAGTAGTATAAGTCGTGGTGATCGTGGTGAACCCTTCGGGGCAGATGTCAATGTAAGAAGTCACAATGACCGTGGTAGTGATGGTGGGCTCCGAGCCGCTGGACGTGACCGAAGGTACCGCCGGGGCAGATGTGATGCTGGAAGTAATCGGAGCGAGTCCATTACCGTTGCCGGTTGGTACACCAGTTGGAACGGTAGTTGCGCCGTCTGTTTGTCTTGAAGCGCTGCCCAAGGGAGTCGAGTACGACGAGGAAAAGGTGCTGGCGTGATCAGTAGACTTTGTGCTGTCCTGAGCACCCGAGCCATTTGCAGCGGCACCGGAGGTTGAGGTGCTGGCTGCTCCCGGGCTGCCCGAAGAAGCGGAAGTTGTTTCCGCTCCAGTCTGGCCTGATGCTGAGCTAGCAGACTCGGTGCTCGACGTTACTTCACTACCAGACGAGGACGGGCTGTCAGAAGGCACCGATGGGATGGTGGTAACAACGGAGCTGGTGGAGCTTGACGCATGAGGGGCGCCGGATGAGGTCACCGATGTAACCACCGATCCCGAGGAGGTAGACTCCACAGAAGAAGCAGAAGTGCGTGTTGAAGCATCTGTGCTCGACGTGTTGATGGAGCTTGACACGGTGGGACTGCCCGGTCCGCTTGACGAGGAAGTAGCAGACACGATTGTTGTTCCCGAAACAGATGCGATGGGCGTACCAGAGGGAACAACTGAGAAGCTTGACCTGGTCGACATTCCAGGGACCACACTGGACGAGGAACCCACGCTGGATCCTACAGCAGAACTTGAAGAGACCGGCTCGGCAGAGCTGACAGGTGAGCTTGACAGTAACGGTGTGCTAGACGGATGTGACAGGGTAGATGATGGAACCCCGGTCCCAGCGGGAGTGCTGGAAGAGGGCAATGACCCAGAAGAACTGGTGAAAGTCGCAATGATCGTGGAGGATGGCTTTGAAATAACAGGAACACTGGATGACTTTCCTGAGGCAACAGATGAAGTTGAACGGACAGGCGTGCTTGAAGGAGTGAGGGAAATGGCTGAGCTGCTTGGCACCACAGGGTTGCTGAAGGTGTGAGTGCTCGACAGGGCCGATGAGCTGGAATGAAGCAGAGTGCTCGACCTTACAATGGAGCTCGAAGGAATGGGAGAGCTCGATGCAACAACAGAACTGGCAGCCGAGCTTGGAATGATGGGGGTGCTTGATGCAGACGGGCTGCTTGACATGGCAGGAGTGCTCGATATCACAGGAGAAGTCGAGACAGCAGGGCTGCTTGATACCGCAGGGGTGCTTGACACAACAGGGGAGCTGGATGCAATAGCAGAGCTAGAGACAACGGGAGTGCTGGACGCCACAGGGGTGCTGACCGCCGGAGTACTGGAAACAATGGCAGAGCTAGATGCTGCTGGCTTGCTAGACACAATAGCAGAGCTGGACGCAATAGCAGAGCTGGACGCAATAGCAGAGCTGGACGCAATAGCAGAGCTGGACGCAATAGCAGAGCTGGACGCAATAGCAGAGCTGGACGCAATAGCAGAGCTGGACGCAATAGCAGAGCTGGACGCAATAGCAGAGCTGGACGCAATAGCAGAGCTGGACGCAATAGCAGAGCTGGACGCAATAGCAGAGCTGGACGCAATAGCAGAGCTGGACGCAATAGCAGAGCTGGACGCAATAGCGGATCCAGATGCAGTAGTAGAGCTAGAGACAGCGGGAGCGCTGGATGCCACAGGGGTGCTGACCGCCGGGGTGCTGGAAATGATAGCTGGGCTAGATGCCGCCGGTTTGCTTGACACAATAGGAGAGCTGGAGGCAACAACAGAGCTGGTGGCCACGGGAGTGTTAGATGTAACAGCAGAGCTGGAGGGAACAGCAGGGCTAGAGGCAACCGGGGAGCTGGGGACAATCGGTGAGCTGGAAGCACCAGCGGCACTGGTGGTCACGGGCGCGCTGCTTGCCACTGGAGTGCTGGAGGCAATAGCAGTGCTGGATGGAACTGAAGAGCTGGACGCCACAGGGCTTGATGCGATAGGGCTACTTGACGCAGAGACGCTGCTTGACACCACAGGAGTACTTGAAGACTCGGTTGTACTCGGAACCGCGGGAGTGGAAACAGCAGAGCTTGACGGAACTGGACTGCTTGATGGAGTCGAGGTGAATGAAGCAGGAGCGCTTGATGAAACAGGGGTACTCGACACCGCAGGTGTGCTTGAGGCGATAGCACTGCTAGACGAAGGGCTGGGAACCGGTGGCGAAGGATCAACTGCAACCAGGATGTCTTTGATTAAGTCGGCAAATGTGAGCCCATTGAACGTATTCTCATCCGAAGCCGTTGCTTCCCAAAGCATGATACCTCCAAACGTCTCCGGGTAGAGGTTCATATACACATTCACCAGAGGATAGACTTCCTCCGGGGTCAGGTAGTATCCAGTTCCTGCTGCAGCGGGACCGGCAGGCAATCCCACATAGAGCTTTGCGTCCGGGTTGGCTCCACGCTTGATGACATCCACCCAGTCGTCAAAGTTGAAGCCGGTGCTGACACCATTGATAGAGTCACTAGCGGCACAGCCAGCAGTGTTATAGAATTGCACCCAAACGAAGTCAAAGGGGGATTGGGCAATCGCATCACTGAGTTGAGGGTCGGGTATCGGGCATTGGGGGGCACCAGAGATGTAAAAGGTACGCTCCGGGACCAAGGCGTAAAGCTCTCTGAACCGATTGACCATAGTCGCATATCCTGCTCACGATTAGCGGTGGTGCAGATTAATAACAAGAGTTTACGGGCAGAGAGACATACCAAAACCGCCGTTGTGCTCGATGTCGAAATCGAACCCATCGACAACAACGTCACCAAAAGGACGAGGGCCATCATTCGACACCCATTCCTCCGTCTGCGGACCGAAGGCACCCCAGAGGAAATCGGCGAATTGGACAGCAGAGGCATCTGACAAAATCTGCTGGTTATCGGGAGAGGCACCACCGAGGGACAGGAAAACCTTCTTTCCTGCTTCCTGGCAGATGGGAATATCTTCTGCAATTTGGTGACAACCAGAAAGAAGCTCCGTTGAGACGCCGTCAACTTCATATGTTAGGCCATCACACTGATTGCCGAAGTTGCTACCCGGCCACCCGGCAGGTCCCTGGTCCGGGAAAGTATTGATGAAGCCAAGGTTGATAATATCCAACGAAGTTTCCTGGCAGAAGTGGCTCAATCTTTGTTGACCATATCCTTGACCCTGTAGACAGATATATACAAGTCAGTATGGTTAAGTGGGCGCTCGAGTGGTCAGAACATACGTAGTAGACGGCAACGTTGGACTTTGCCTGGGCATCGAAAGCAGACACAAAAGGAGTGAGGCCGGCTACTGCCGCAGCGATGGTGAGAGGCTTGAACACCATGTCGAAGGAGTGGCAACTGGCAGGCGTAAGGAAGCCGCAAGCCAGTAATGAGACCTTGGTGGTTCAACGAAAGGACGCAGACAAATGTCTGCTACTAAGGAGTGTCTCCGCAAATGAATGTCGAAGAATGCGGCACTGGTGAGAGAACCAGTGGGCAAGGAGGGTATATAACATTATAGGAGATAGGCGTTTTGGGGGGTCAGCGAACCCCATTGCATCTTCCTAGTCATTAGCTCCAATATCCCAAATACAAAGTTCATCCAACGAGCACAACCGAAATTATCATGCGGATGATATGGCTTGGCAAGTGCAACCGGACAATCAGGCGATGGAGAAAGTACTCCATTCTTGTGCTAGCAGCAGGGAATATTGAAGCTAACGAGGCGCTTGATACGGGAGCACCAGGGGTCACCGGCCAGAAGAGGGCGTGACTGGATCCGGAGGATGGAAGATTTGAGGGCCGACATTACGCTCAAGGCAACAGCAGGCATCCGAGCACCCTGATTGAGTAAATGCCTGGTGTAGAGCCGCATCAGGGTCCGACTATTATGGTTAGTCTCGGTCGAAATGGACAACAAGAGGCAAAAGCGATGTACACTACTCACAACGTCTAGGCTCTGGCGGTGCTTGAATTATAGCCTAAGTGGAGAAAGAGAAAGTAGTGCTTCATAGTCGAATGTAGCCTCGATAAAAGGTGGATATGGAATGAGCAGAGATCAGTTTTCTGGACGGATAGAGGCCGGAAGATGAGAGATGGATGGAGATAGCGAGGTGGGAATGGATGGCTTCCATGGACCTGGAGGCATGCCTGGAGGGGAGCTAGTCTAGTCCTGGACCCTGCGGTGGGCGCGATCCTGGTATTGTGGTGACAATACCGTGTCCGTGTTATGTTTTCTCCCCAGTTAGGGTTAGTGTCCATGTGGAAGTAGCTTGATCGGGACTAGCTAGGGGTCCCCGGTGGAACACTGGTGGTCAGGAACACCAATCATAGAGTCGGGATATAGAGCCTGACAGGCCACTGGTCAGGCTGGGAAACGTCCGGGCTAAACTTTGGGCTCCAATGTCTTACCTTCGCCTCTCGCCTTCTGATTGTTGTGATGGCGAGAAATGAAAAGTCAAATCATTAGACCGGACCCACGGAACGGCTCTTCTCCGTTGCTTAAGGCTCTCGGAGTTGACCGGATCATCCGATCGACAATCAGGAACTATTACTGTACAGAGTTGTGCAACTGCCAGTCGCTTATTTTATGTTATGGGCGGATGTTCACTTCAGAAGCAGAAATAGTTGAGCCCGAATGAAAAATGAGAAATCTGACATGACAGTGTTCTGAAGGAACGCCACCGACGAATATCCTCCTTAGCCGACAGTCCATTGGCCTTTTTTTCTCCTGTCCAAATAATCACACTTTGACTAGATACTTTCTTAGTCGACCCATCCACCAGCCAGATACCCCACTAGGCCTCAAGCGGACTCCGGCCGACCACGGACCTTCCTGGCTACATGGGCCAGTGTACCTGTTCGTACAGAGGGGAACCACTGGGGGTAATGGATTGGTGATTAGTAGCTTCCACTATAACCAGGCGTTAAGCGACGTCGGAGTGATGCATCGGAAAACCGGAAATTGCACCTTTGATACTGCTCCTCTGAAGGGATTAGCGTGCTGCAATCTGGCGAGAAGTGGAAATGAACGGTCACAGAGCCTTATGGCCAGGGCCGTCGGAAGTCCCAGCAATTCCCCGTTGTCTCTCAAAATCTAGTGGTCGGTGGATACCACACCTATAAGGAACATAGACACAGAGTACGGTGTGAGGCATTTATCCGTACCAAAAGTCTCACAGGGCTGGGATTGCTACTTTCAATCCGGTTGTGTCTCTCCACGTCTATGACCTCGTTCTCTCAGAGAGGCTTGTTTGTAAGACAGGCCAAGCATATGGTGTTTTCCTGGCTGTGACTATACTCGCGTACTACACCGGGGAACAGTATGAAACCCCCGAGGATGACAAAACTAAAAGCTTGCAGGAATCTTTGTGCACTGGCATCGCCATAGCTTGGCCAGAGACACAGTGGCATGTCATAATAATCCGTGTTGCACCGACAATCAACTCCTGCTGGAAAGAAGTGAAAGCCATATACGAACTAGCTACGGTTAGAGGCTGCGACAACCTGCATCCTGACAGAGAAGAACCAAGCACACAGAAGGAGGAACAGGTATACAGCTACAATGCTGAAGCTGGGATGGCAATCTACCCAAGAAGGGGTCGACAATCCATGTGCTGCAGGGTAGCTAGGTTACACCTGCAGCAAAGGGTACCACGTTACACGCCGTTAGCTACATGCGTCACAAAGGGACAGCGTGGGACAGAAGCTTCAGTAAATTTTCGTGAGCTTTGGTTCATAATCCGATACGTATTCCAATGGACCTGGTCGAGGATAGCTCACTGCGCTATACTTACCCTAAGATATAGTGGCTACTAGTACGTTCCTGCCACCCTCCTTATGAAAAATGGCTAAGGGTTCGACATGTGGACAATCATAGCATATGAGCATACTGATTTGTTCTATTTCAGGGTACCCCTGTTGCTTCTCCCTTAAGACTTCGTCCAAAATACCTCCGTCAGGAGGTCGCACATCAAAGTAATAGACCGTTTCCCCTCCTTCAACACAGCGTCCATAGCCAAGAATGGATGAGGCATGCCCTTCATAACCTGCAAATCCACCTGAACGCCAGCCTGCTTCAACTTTTCGGAATACTGTTCTCCCTCCGTTCGCAGCACATCCAGCTCACCCACCATGACTAAAGCCCGGGGCAGGGCAGACCAATCGCCCGTCCAGAACAAGGGGCTCGCCTCAGGGTTGTCCCAATCCTTTTGATTCGGCAGATAGTGGTTCCGATACCAGAGCATCTTTGCTGCGGGAAGGGCCGGTGTATGCTCGTACTCCCTATAGGCACGGTTCGTTTCCACACTGGCCGTGTTATCCGTCACCGGTACGGAGAGCAGCTGTGCCTTGAAGTGAACAGGAGGCGACAGTGTCAGGGCTTTCTGGGTGATTATGCAGGCCAGGTTTCCACCCGCTGATGATCCACCGGTCGCGATCTTGCTGATATCGATGGGAAGTTGAGCGGGTCCTTGGGAAGTCAACCAGAGGAGAGCCTCCCAGCAGTCGTGGACGGCAGCGGGCCAGGGATGCTCAGGTGCGAGGCTTTGAAGAATATCTTGTCAGTTCATCCCATCCAGCTCAATTGCATGCAAAGACTCTCGAAATAGATACATACTGGTAATCCACCGTCAATACGACACAGCGACCCCTCACACAGAGATTCGAGCAGACTGGGTTCTCCGTGTCAATGTTTCCCAGCACCCATCCACCGCCATGGAAATACAGCATGACCGGCCATCCGGATGCCGGCGCAGTGCCTTCTGGCACAAACACTCGCACAGGGACTTCTGGGCCCTCTGTGACGCGACGTGGAAGACGAAGGTCAATGGTCTGCCCAACAGGCAGAACAGGACCCCCGCCTGGGATCAGGACGCCGCTCGATCGCGAGGCCGCAACAGGCTGCAAATGGACCTGCTGCTGTTTCATCACATACTGGTTGTAGAATGCGACATATTCGGGATCGAGTTTGTCCTGCACCGAGGGGTGGAGGGGGTATGGGGGTTGGGGATTGGTAAGGGACATGATGAAAGTGGTAAGTCACTGTTCGATTGATTTCACTCTTTACAGATGGAAGGTCTCTGTTGTGTTCGAAGAAGGAAAAAAAAGGAGTTGGTAACTCTATCCTATCTATCTGACAATCAATGCCAGCCTCCGTGTTGTATTCCTCGGTTACATCGCGGTCAGTGTCCGAGCGCAAGGGATCAACGAGGGGATGCATTCCGGCTCGACTTTCCTGTTTGTGTTCCTTTCCCCTCACGGCTGGTTGATGATCCTGATAACGAGGAACTTCCTTAGTAACCCGCGATAAGAGAGACCCTTCCAGTTCCGTCCCCTCACCTTTCCCCACCTTCACCACTAAATCACTGACAGCTCCAGTGGTAGCGAGGCGAGCAAAAAGGCAGGCGATGACTTTTTCGTAATCGTACCTGTATCCCAAGTGAGAGTTACTTACCCGCGTAAGAGGGGGTTTGTAGTAGTAATGACTCATAGATGCTGTCTAGTTAACTAAGTGCTGTTAATTTGTATGATATATATAACTTACCAGCACCAGGAGAATCCATCATACTACTTACCTCCTTCAAGCACAATCAATAAGGCCGAACAACTTCATCAACCCCAACATCAATCACTTGAACAAAAAACAAGATAATCACACCAAAATGGCCACCAAAACCCCCATCACGACCGACAAAGCCCCCAAGGCCCTCCCCGGCATCTATTCCCAAGCCATTGTCTCCAACGGCGTCGTCTACTGCTCTGGCTCGGTGGCCATGGACGCAGAAACCGGCAAGATCATTGATGGCGATATCAAAGCGCACACGGTACATACATAATTATCATACATCATTTCTCTCACCAACGATTCGCTAATTGAATACGTTGGAATACAATAGCACCAATGCATCAAAAACCTCGGAAACGTTCTCGAAGCCGCCGGTAGCGATCTCACCAAGGTCCTCAAGGTGACTGTGTTCTTGTCGAATATGGATGACTTTGCCGAGATGAACTCTGTCTATGTGCAGTACTGGGGGGATGTTAAGCCTTGTCGGACGTGAGTTTTCCCCTTGCTCTGTTTCTGTGTGGGTTTTATGACTGTGGGGGAGGGTTTGGCATTGGGATGTAAGAGTATGTATGGCTGACTGATGTTGATTGGATGGGTAGATGCGTGGCGGTTAAGACTTTGCCCCTGAATACGGATATTGAGATTGAGTGTATCGCTCATCAGTAGAGAATATATATATCTGGTGATGAAAGTGCCTGGTCGGGGAAATAAGAATTATACCAGCAAGTTATACTCCGCAAACGGCGCTTGTTGATCGATATCTTCAAAAATATATTATGTATATATAAAATTTATAGAAAACGGATGCGAGGAATGCGACTCTAGAGGCCCGTAGAGTATCCTGAAATCAATGTGAGCAGCTCAACCCCATAGATGGCTCAAACGCTCAGCAGACTGCAGTTTAGATGATAATTCAGAATGGTATCCCTGCTCAATAGTCTCCGAAATACTTCTGGCGAGTTCGTTCCATTGCTAGTTCGTCCGGCATAGGGGTGATAAACTTATCGATTTCATTGATCCAAAACGAGCTCTGAGGATTGACTTGACAAGCTGTAGTATATTCCCAGTAAGATGGATACCAGCCCGCAGTCTCCCAGTCGACAATTCCAACAATCGTATCCCCACGGGCCAGAATATTGAGGCTACTGAGATCACCATGTGTGAATGCGATAGGAAAAGATTTATCATGTTGTCTGATCAACTCTTGTACTTCTGGATCAAGCCTTGGATCGAAATCCATCCCACCTCGCAAATGTCGATGGAATTCCTGGACACTGGGAAAAGGGCCCAAAACGTAGGGAAGTGCCCGGCACACGGCAATCGTAGAGTGATCCGTCCACAACAGAGCCCGCACCCATACCTGCCGGGGGTGGGAGTCTTCGCATCTCCTCAACTATGTTCTTTAACTGAGTAAGAATCTTTGCCTTTGACTCTTCACTGCGATAAACCCATCCGGCACCAATGTAGTTCCCTTTGATTCTTTCCATGACTATGTAGGTGCAATTCCGATGTGTAAAGGCGCAGAGGACTTTGGGGACTGGTATAGATGTGTTTTGTGAGATAAAACGCATAGTAACTGCCTCTGTCAAGTCTACGAGTTTTCCGAATTTGACACAGATCCGATTTGTTAACATGAGAACGCTTCCTTCAAAAGGGCGTATCTTTCGGAGAGTTGCAATCGCAAATAGGATGAAATGCTTGTACAAGGCGCAGTCGTTGATTGGACCCAGCTTTGGGGCATCGGGCATTCTGAGTATGCAGATCGGGGAAAAGCCCCGTCTAGCTGATTGGATGGTCACTGTCTGGATTCGCTTGTGGTTGAGTGGTGAACTGCGGAAAGCGGATTGGAAAGCATTGAACACGTGATGGCCATGGCTGGGTTACTACTAGTAGGTAGTACTGTAGTCATAGGATCTAGTCAACATCTACATCGACAACGCGATCATGGGTTACTGTGACTGCTGCAGGTACTATAGTCATTAGGTTCGGTAGAGTAATATGCCTAGAAATTACAATGATTACAAGCAATTGAACTGCCTACCCAGTAGAGATAGGTATCGGAATAGTGAGATTCCCCAAGAATGCTGCAGCCTACTCCCAGAAGATAGCACCCTATGCCATCACTACTTTGACACCAAAAACGCGTATAGGAGTCTCAACAAACACGAACTCAAAGAGTAAACAATAAACACAAACATTAACCTTCCCGCGCGCGCCGTCCATCCGCCCGAACCATCATCGAGTTTGGGGCTTTAATTAAAACTGAACAATGCAGTGGGACTGATAAAGCCCGGAATGTAGCCGGTTTGGGGCAAGTTTCACGCCTTCAGCTCCCACAAGAGAGGACTTGGCATGTGGGAGAATTCCTGTGGATCATTCCTCTTTCGGATGAGCATCACGTTGATAGTATGCGACTGATAATGGCATATGCGTACTAGCAGTACTATGACCAACGATGAGTTATGTTTTGGTATTCTGTTGTTTTGCTATAAATAAACATCATATGGAGGACTCTGTATAGGCAGCCACGAATTCCATATGTGCTTAACGATACCTCGTATGTGGTAGCATGTTTTGTCAACAAAGTACTCGAATTGTATATTGGGGGTGCATGAGTCGGAAAGATGTATTAGGAAGCTTGTTGAAGAAATGGAATGACGGAGGATACCAGTGGTCTTGGTCAGGATAGCAGGAGATCTTCGACGATATGAACTGTTGGTGTGAGCTGTATAGTAGTTGTAATGGGTGTAGTATCGAAAGATATATATTGCCCACTAGTAGTATGTAAGTATGACTTCCACTATGCACGCGATTTCTGGCCTGACATTTCAGGATTTGATTAGAACATGCTAATGACTTCCGAAACATTGAATATCCTATAACTCTTGCCTGTCCGTTCCATGAATACTATGAAGAATATGTGATGAGGACGCACATCACAGCATATACATATGGTATAACACTTTATACGAAGCAGCCGGGATATGGACGAGCACTCTCACACATGGAAAATATGCTGTAGAAAGATTATAGCCCTTAGAGCCCAGCGATAAAAATAGTCAACGGGAACATGTTCAGGCCATTCGTCGAGAGCATAGTGCTAGATTGCCGAATGGTGAGAGTGGATAGCGTCAGGTGAGATTCAGCTCCACCTCTTCCGTTATTTATGAACATCATAACTCAAAATTGAACGCCTACCGGGTGCTCTGCATTCAATCTGAGTAATGTAAATAGTACTACAGGACATGGCCAATTATAGATCAGTTTCGGAGGCCTCAATGCATGGATCTTCTAGGGTTAATAAAGGCAGGCGATGACGCCATAGCGCAAATGAACCACCTGCACACCACCCTGCTGGCCCAAATCAATTGAGAACTATAGGAAACCCATTTTACTGGTATGAAGTGACTCAGGGAGTAGAGAAATCGGGTCCTGTTCCCAGCCCTTCATGCTTCTGTGTGTCGGCGTTACTTGGTTGCCCTTATAAATAAACTTGTAGTAGGGTCTTTCCTTGCAGAAACCTCGCCAGAGGGGAAACGAGGCAGAATAAGTAGGATGAGACGAGGGGCAGAAGGGAAGAGAGGAGAAAAGGCGAGAAAGTTGGAGCGAGTGACTCCCTGTGAGTCTGCTGCCCATCACGTGTCCCATCCCTTTCCTCGCCTTCAACCACATCATGGCGATGGAGTCCCCTTTGGCTCTCCGCTCATCCCTAGCCTTATCTATCTGCAGCCCTGGATTCTGCATCGCATCCTGCATTCTATACTTGACCGCTCTGTCTCACTACCTGCGCCCACTTTAGCTTTGACAACCCGCGTTTACCACGCGATGATGACGCTGGGATTCAATCGCGGTTTTCTCAAGGAGAAAATTCGCCTTAGTACTCAGACACAGGGCTACCACTCGATCCCTGATGGAACACAATTTGCAATTGAATCCCAAGGATGTGCATAATACCTCCGATGACTAACACTCAACAGGAGAATACTAGGGGCAAACTATGGTAGTAGTCGCGCGATGGTCCAATGGCCGCGGATGCCCGTTTAGTGTGCATTCCTCAAGGACAGCTCTCCCATATCAGGCAGTGACAACAAACACTACAGGCCATATTCCTACCAATTCCCTATTCTGCTAGTGGGCATGCCTCGGAATCGCCCATTCCAACCCCTCGGCCCTCCGCGTTCACGCGCGAGGCCTCTCATTCAGCATATACATCCTTTTAGTCGGCCATAGCCCATTGTTTTGCTTCTCTTCCATTGTTTCTCCGTCGCGTCAACCACCCACATGTTCTTTATGGGCTGCACTTACCTATCCTCTCCGACACATCGATTTCTATCATCACTAACCTCTCAGACCACTGGATGCTTGGCGAGTTTTGTTAACCAAAGCCGTTGCGCAGCTGGTTCCAGCTACTCTCGACACGGTCCATCATGTTCAACCGTTCGATAGCCTCCCCAAAAGGAGGCATTTGGACCAAGGTGGTGATATTCATCTCGTTATATGTCATGCTCTTCGACTCCTTCATTGAATGGGCCATCGTGCTTTACCTGTATGGGATCCGCCGTGTGGACTCAAAGATGACCCCGAGCTTGGTACTGGCTCTTGTCGCTGTAAGTCTTTGCCTTGACCTGGACGGCCGGTAAAGATGCTGACGGATACTAGTCATTCTTCACTGTTCCTCTGGTCGCTCTCCACAGCCTGCTTGCCTGGCAATACAACAAGGTTGTAGGATTCGCGAGTCAGAAAGCTTTGCTGAATGCCGCTTGTACCTACATCCTGCGACTGACGATACTCATTTGGATCGCGGCCAGCGCAGCAGGATTAGTGGTGGTTTCGCAGCAGGTGTACTGTCTAGCGGATGATGGTGGTGGTGACTTCTGGAAGATCGGTATCAGCTGCGCGCTTCAACGGGCTTCTGTGATTGTTTCTATCATATCATTGTAGGTCTGCTGTACCCAGTTTTCGATGTGTTTACTGACTCGCAGCAGCGTGACTGTGTGTCTTTTCTTCTGCTCAAGAGAACTCTGCGAGCGTCCGTACGACATATCCCTTCTCGGGGTGTACAAGCCACAATTATCGACATGCGATGACAAGATGTCTGCCAGCTCAACGATGGGAAGCCACGTCAGTCTGGAAAATGACATATATCACGTTTGCCGCAGGCCTGATGTGACATTTGGGAGAGACCTGTACCTGTCATCAAGCAGCAACTCCATTTGTAAAGCTGGTAGTATTGAACATCCTGCATCCGTATATGAGAAACCCCACTTGAAGCTCGATACCAAATGTGAATCAGAGGGCTCAGGCATATACTCTGGAACTACACTCTCCGTTGATGGCACGCCATCCAAGAAATCTTCCAGGGATGGAACAAACTCCGAAGCCAGTTCAAATTTCTCAGTTACACCTCCCAAAGCCACGTTAAGGACTCCTTACGACCCTCATCGTCAGGCTGTACTGGCGGAACTCCCGGGATCCCCACATTTCAGACATCAAAGGCACCATACCTCTGGATCCCCTTTCCGACTCCTTCCCAAGGTTTTCGCAAGTCAGATATCGTTGTCATCGGACCCTGACATCCTTGCTCTCGCTGGTCCTGATGCTGTTGCGGACGTTGAGCAACTAGCAGAGGAGCACTCAACAGACAACATCGAGCCACCGCCGACTCCCAAAAGGGAATATGCCCCTGGACACCCACTGGCATCTTCCCCTGTGGAACTTCCATTCCCCTCCTCTCCTCCTGTGGAGAGGTCTATATTCTCCATGACGACCAGTAACCCTGAGCTTAAAACCAGTCGGTCCGAAGGAAGCACGCTTCCACGATCAATATCAAGCAGCTCAGCTGATGCCCCCGAAGTTGTCGCACCAGAGCCACTCAGGGTTCAGAGATCCAAGACGTCACACACAGCTCCAATAACTAGCCAGTACAACTTCTCCCGGCCCAAACCCCCGGTTGTACCTCCGATTCCACCACGACAGCCGAATCACAGCTACCATGGCTCTCTATCGCAGCACGGGCGATCTAGACGCCAAAACTCAATTCGTTCGAGCGGACGACGAAGCCAAGTCTACCGGTTTGAAGCATGCCAGATCCCGCGACACACACAAAGCCAGTACCATCCCCAGCAAAGCCGTTACGCTCGTCGATCGTATTTTGACACCCACCGTCGAATGCCCTCGCGGAGGCGTCGAAACGACGTCGAAATCGTGTACTCCAGCACCCGACGGCCCCGCAGCAACACCTGTGGAGGGTTCGGCACAACATCCAGTCTAGACTGTATCCGCGAGTCTGGGGCCTCTGTTGATGAACCGGAAGACATCTTCGCCGATGGAAACACGTATAGAGGTACCACGCGAACTACTAGTGCCCACGGCATGTACGCATTTTGAACTGAAGTCTGCGGGTCGGACTGGCTATGATTTAATCGGCTCTATTATCACGTTCTTATTGGCTCATGATTGATATAAAATGTATACTAGCACGCTTCTTTTTTTCCTTTGTTTACCTTTCTTGCCATATACTATTTGATTGAATACTATTATGATTTTATTCTTCTGCTTACTAGTTTCTCTGTACTATGCAATCATCATATATTATACTCTTTTTTTTTTTTTTTTTTTTTTTTTTTTTTTGGATCGATTGAAATGTAGGATCAGATTAACTACCGTCTTATGTACGTCTCAACCCGACCATTCGGAAACAACCCCAAACGCCACAGGACAAGAAATTAAAGCCATACCCCCCTTATACAGCACACAACACAACACCGGCACCTCCAGCCCAACCGTTTGTAAATGTATATACCCGAGACACCATAAAAGACCCCAGTCCTAGATAGTAATACCGTAATCCCACACAATTAGCAAGTAGGTAGGCCAAACGAACACACGAACATACAAACGACCAGATCCACAAGAAGGCAATCAGCCAGAGAAACCGTAGAGTTCAAATGAACCAAGCTAAGCTGCTCAAGCTCTCTTCGACCCCGACCGAGACTGCGACGACTTCGTCTTCACCTCTCCATCCACCCCGGTAGCATATTTATACCGATACGCCTGCCTCTTCCTCCCCTTCTCATCGACAGTGACATTCTCCTTATCAGTTTCCTTGACACTCCCCATCTCCTTCTCACCCCACGACCACATCAACGCACGACTCATCCTCTCACGCTCCTTGAGTAGGAGATCCACGCGCCGCTGCCACTCCTTCTCGCGCTTCTCGACGGACCGCGCGATGCGTTCGTCGACTGCAGCGGCGGTTTCGTCCTTCGTGGCGATGATGGATTCGAGGTGCTCGATCTTGGTTCTCTGCGCGCGGAGTTCGGTGTGATGCCGGTCGCGCAGGGTGAGGATGTGGGCTTTGAGTTTGGTTTCGCGGTTGGTGGTGCTGGTGAGGAGGGTTTGGAGATTGGTGTTGGTGGCGCGGAGGTTGGTGAGTTCCGTTTGGAGGGTTTGGATTTGGGACGTGGACGTGGATGTGGATTGGGGTTGGTGTTGGTGGGTGTTTGTTGGAGGGGATGGGGGTGGGCTGGGTTGCTGTTGGGTGGCGTTTTGGAGGTCCTCTTGTTCCTTCTTGAGACGAGTGATGGTTTCCAGGGCCCGCGTGCGTTCTTCGTTGGCTTGGGATAGCTCTTGTTGGGCTTTATCGAGGGAGGATTTGAGCTCGTCCGCGCGTTTGGTTAGGCGCGTGTTTTCGGTTTCGATGGAGTGGATGAGGGTTTGTGCTTCGGTGGCTTGGTCTTGCGAGCGGGTCAGTTGTAGCTCGAGGGTTGTTTTCGCTGAGGTGGCTTCTGCTAGTTCGGTTTGGAGCTTTAATAGTTCTTCGTGGAAGTGTTTGAGTTCGAAGTCTTGGGACGTGTCTTGGTCCTGGGGGAGTTTGTCCTTGGCGAAGGGGTCTGGTGTGCGTCGAACGCTGGGCTGGCCGAGGTCTTTGATCAATTCTAGAATCTCGGTGTAGGTGTTGCCCGTCTCGAGCGGGAGGTCCGCTGCCATGGCTTTGAGGGCATTTTCTTGCGCGGTGACTTGCGACTGTGCGCGCGTCAGATCGGCTTCCAGCGTGCTGTTCTTCTCTTCTAATGGTCGGTTCTTGGTTTCTAGAGAGGCGATTCTTTCCTCAAGTGTCTCGTATGCCTGGTTGACACGGTCAAGCTCCCTTTCCAGCTTTTCGACCTCTAGGAGATTGTCGCTGACCTGAGCTTTGAGGCCATCGATTTCGCTATTCTTCTCCCGGAGCTGCTGCTCCTTGGCGGTTGTAACCTCCTTCAGCTTGGCCATTGTCTCGTCCAAGGTTGCGTCGCGCTTTCGCAGCTGCTCCTGAGCCAAGTCCAATTGCTGGCGCAGATAGGCGATCGTTTCTAGGCGCTCGGTGTCGATATCGGGGTGCGAGCTTCGACTCTGCAGCTCTTTCTGCATGTCACTCATCTGCTTTTGCAAAGTGCCCAGCTCGGATGCGTTCATGGTAGACTTCTGGAGGAAGGACTCTTTCTCCTGGTTTTGTTTTTGTAGAAGCTGGATTTGCTCGCGAAGTAGTGTCTCGTCGCTGCGTTTAGCGTACAGCTCTTCGAGCAGTTCCGACTTTCTCTGTAGCTCCCCTTGTAGGTGCTTGATTTGCTCTCCTGCAGAGGCTGCTTCCAAAACACGTCTGTGGTTCCTTTCAAGTTGTTCATCACGCTCGCGCAGCGCGTCCTTGAGCTCTGCAATCTGCCGGCGCAGATCCTCGGTCACGTCTTTCTCGTTCTTACTGGAAGTACGCTTGTGCTTGCGAACGGAGGGTGTAGTTGTAGTCGCCTCCATCTCGTCATCCGGGTCTTCTTCAATGTTTTCGAGATGCGTTATATCTTTCCCCAGTCCGCCGGCCCGACGCAGCAGATGCGACGGGGTAGACATGTCGACAGGAGGCCCAAATTCACTGTATCCGCTGACCTCCGGCTCATCTTCAACCGCTGGTTGGTGCAATTGAGAGTTGTTCTGGGAGTCTTCCTGCTGCTGGGGTTGTTTCGCTTCTTGTCTCTGGATCTGTGGCTGGGATTGCGGCTGGGGAAGTTCGTCCTGCAGCTCCGGCTCGGGTTCTGACTCGTGCTCAGCATCGGAATGGAGTTCTGGCTCGAACAGGTCGCGCTCCATGTGGTCTATGCTGAAATGCTTGTGGTCCATGGTATCATCCTCCCCCATAAGATACTTCTCCAAGTTGGCAGTAAAGTCATCCGGACCACCGACATCGGATAAGTTGTCCTCATGTGGCAGTCTCAACTCCTCCAGGGGCTCCTCATCCAGCGCGTGGTTGCTCGGAAACTGGCTGAAGTCGACTGTGTACTGCGCTAGACGGGCATCGATCTCGTTCGCGGCGCGCTCGAGAGAGGACGCTCTGGAGGATTTGGGGGAGCGGCGTTGCGGCGAACGCGCGTCATCGAGGTCTGCGCCGGTCGCGCCGTGCGAACTAAAACGGAAGCTTCTTGTGCTGACCGGAGAATAGCTCTCTCCCTGGTCGGGATGAGACGGTGGCGATGAAGGCATGAAGAGGGGAGTTGCCAGCGTGGACGCGCCGACGGTGTCGTGGGAAGTCGTGTCCATGACGGCGGAAACGATTGGGATTGTTTATTGATCAGGGTAACATATGCGATAAGATCGGTCACAACTTCACGTCCCAATCAGGCACATCATCGATTCTTCGGAGAATAGGGGTGGTGGATAAATGAGCCGATAAGGATAGGCGATCGAGAGGGAAAATGCGCGTCAGTTAACGACTAGTCAATTGCTTTGAATGGGAGAAAGAGTGGAAGATGGATGGAGGATCCCGTCAAACATGGCAGCCCCAGGCAGGCAGGAACCGCATTTGGCCCGTCCTTGCTGGCCTGTATCCTCAGGCAGAAAGAGCCGCGAAAGCTCAATGAGGACTAGCGCGATCTATGTAGCTCCGCATTGGGGTCCACCGAGACTATATTTACTTAGTTATTTACTACATAAATAGATATGAAGGCGAGGACGATAATGGCTTGGGGACCAAGAGATTATGAAAGAGATTAGAACGATAAGTCTAATGGAGTACATGAGGAGATAGATTCAAAGAAACGTGCTCAATGCCTTTGCGCAGAAGAAGTGAGTTGCGGAGCTCCCTGAACTGCTTCAATCTACAGAGTACACACAAGTGAATCTCAAGCTTGTCCATGTCTATCACCCAGACTGTAGTATCAACCTGACAGACAGTGGCAACTGGAATAGCATGTATGGCTCTTGATTTGTCATATCTGTGTAGCAAGGGTTTGGATTGAATAGTTGGTGATTGATTTGGTGTTGATGGCCAACAAATCCGGTGATGCTGACATAATCACATAGAAGGTGACACAGAAAAGAGTCTCCAACAGAGCGCATGATCAAAGCAAGACCTCTCCAGTTAGGATTCACTGCATATGCTTGCCATGAAGGGTTGTTTTCATGCAGCCTTTTGATCTCTTCCGATTTGGCTGCAGGTAGGGTTTCACATCCATCCCAACTGATAGGCGAGACCTGAACGGCTAATCAGTGGGCCATTCATTGACGGATTACGCATGGCTCCCATTCCCCGCTGAAACCATCAAAGAGCGCCATTGCGCGCATCCTACACACTCTTGCTCTTCTTTTATACCAGCAAGTGATTTAATTCTCCTCTTGAGGGCCAACTTCAAAGATGCCTCCCGTGTCTCCGCAACCCGAGCGCCCTCGGGTGATCCTCTATCATCAGACGATCTGTCCTGATGGCCAGTACTGCTCCATGCTGCCGCTGCTGGACAACAATACTGGCGTCACCCACATCATCCTGGCCGCTTTTCACCTCAATGCCGATCCACAGCACATTACTCTCAATAATGATCCCCCTCATATGCCGCTGTATGAACCGCTGTGGGCCGAAGTGCCCGCCGTGAAGCAGAGCGGGGTTCGTGTCATGGGACTCCTGGGAGGCGCGGCGCAGGGCTCATTCCGCTGCCTGGACGGTAATGAGGAGAAATTTGAACTATACTATCAACCCTTGCGGGACATGGTGCGGCGCCATGAACTGGACGGGCTGGATCTGGATGTGGAGGAAGAGATGTCATTGTCGGGCATTATCCGGCTGATCGACCGGCTCAAGCTCGACATGGGTGACGACTTCATCATTACGTTGGCTCCAGTGGCGGCGGCCATGTTGGGTATGGGCAACCTGTCCGGCTTCGACTATCGCGAGCTAGAGCGACAGCGAGCCTCCAAAATCAGCTGGTATAATACCCAGTTTTATAATGGTTGGGGTCACCCAGACGACCCTCGGATGTATGCTACCATGATTGCACAGGGCTGGGCCCCGAACCGGGTGGTGTACGGGCTGTTGACGAATCCCGGGAATGGATCGCAGGGCTATGTACCACTGGAAAAGATCGGGCCGATCCTAGGTCTGCTAGTTGAACGCTTCCCCAACTTCGGAGGCGTGATGGGTTGGGAATACTTCAACTCGAAACCGGGAGACCGAGAAGCGCCCTGGCAATGGGCGGCGGCGATGAGCTTGAGCATGAATATGAAGGAGGTGCTACACGTTGCGCGTATGATGCGCTCGGGACCCATGGCCAACAGCTTGATGAATCTTCTTCGGGACATGATGCAGCAGCGATAAATACATAGCGTGCAGCTACTTCCACATCTTGCATATATAGTTATAGAGCAATTGAGAATAACAACTGACTTATACATGGCTTGGTGGCTTGATGTTGTTTTGGGTTGGAGAGCATGTCGTCATCGCTGCGGCGCCTCATCCGTTCCGCCTTTTCGGATTAATCAGTTGATCTACTCGACTAACTGTGAATTGCTTCTTCTTCTCCCTTAACTACCTCTCTTGTTCTCCTTCTCGTCTGTCTCTCTGGAAGAGCTGCATGAGCTGGTGATGCTCTGATTCCTCTTCATCCGCGTAGATCGTGTCGACAGCTTCTCGACGCCATGGTGTCTATTCCCCGCGTAGCTGCTGCTACGAGCTCCGCGGCCCTCCGAGCGACAGCCTTCTTCTTTCTCCGCTGGGTGCGTTGACTGTTCTTCATGGTCTACGCAATCATGGTAGCTAATTGGAGCTATATAGATCCCTGGCCATCATTTCCCACCCCTTATAGTCACTTTATTAGCTGTGTACCTAGCTTCATTGGTGTCGCTTGGCCGGCCGGGCGACCAGAGCAATACCGACCGGCGCAAGGGCGATAAAGATGCTCAACATGCTTCCAGTAAGTAGGCTCAACATGAGCAGGCTCTACCCTCCTCAAAGACACACAGAGTAACTTGCTATAGGATCTCCGCCGCCAACCGAAGGCGTCCTCAAGGTCCTGCTGACTGGGCTGCCGTCCCCCCGACTACCGCTGTCAACGCGTTTGACCGTCCTAATCAACGTTGTCCTCGCCCTCCTCACCCTAGACTTCGTGGGACGAGGCTTCATCCTCTACCCCAGCAATGATCTTGCTTTCTCTCGTATCGGCTACGTCTCTCCGACTACCGCGAATTTGCTGGTCCGTGAACCCGACCCGGCTCAGCTGCCCTTGATCGTATACTATCAGCCAACGGAGGAGGACCCCTCGCGATGGACAGAAGAAGGCGTGATTTATTCGCTGACGGATGCGACGGACTTCACAACCACCGTAACTATCAAGAACCTGGAGCCCTCATCCGCGTACCGCTATTCTCTGTCCAACAATCTGACGGGCTCTTTCGTCACCGCACCGATGCCCGGCTCTAAATCAGCCAACCGTCTAAGCTTCCTCACGTCGAGCTGCATGAAGGCGAATTTCCCCTACAACCCGCTATCGCATCCACTGCGCATCCCGGGGCTTGAGATGATGACAGAGACGGTCAATCGACTGCCGTCTCTGCTCCGACCAGCATTCATGTTGTTCCTAGGTGATTTCATTTACGTCGATGTGCCTCAGCGCTTTGGCTCCTCGATCTCTCACTACCGCAGCGAATACCGCCGGGTCTATTCCTCCCCGTCATGGAACAAAGCCCAAGATAGTCTCCCTTGGATTCACACACTAGATGACCACGAGATCGAGAATGACTGGTCCAAGGGAAACACAACGGCGCCATATCCCGCCGCCGCGGAGCCCTACATCCATTACCACGTCAGCGCGAACCCTCCCATCCCGCCAACACCCTTTGCTAAGCCCGAAAACACCACCTACTTCTCATTCATCAATGGCCCAGCTTCATTCTTCATGGTGGACACGCGCACCTACCGCTCCGAGCCTGCCCAACCCAACTCCACCATCCTCGGCTCCGCACAGCTCCAGTCTCTCCTCGCCTTCCTCGCCCGTCCCGAGCCAGCCGAAGTCCGCTGGAAAATCGTAGCCTCCAGCGTCCCCTTCACCAAAAACTGGCATGTCGGCACCACCGACACATGGGGAGGATTCCTCAACGAACGCCGCACCGTCTTCGAAGCCATGTGGCGCGCCGAGCGCGAACTCGGCGTCCGCATCGTCCTCCTCAGCGGGGACCGTCACGAATTCGGAGCCACGCGCTTCCCAGACCCCGACCTCGAGTTCACCCACGAGGAACTCCTCCCCAACACAGCAGGCGAGGGACTGCACGAGTTCTGTGTCGGCCCGCTCAATATGTTCTACCTCCCCATCCGGACCTACCGCCAGGACGACGACGAAGACGTCGCCATCAAATATATCCCCGACGGAAACACCAAATACGGTCTCATCGACATTGACGTCCAAGATGAGCTCATCACCACCAGCTCTGGCAAAACCATTTCCGTCCCCAGCTCTGTCTTCACTTACTCCCTCTACGTCAATACCGACCTGATCTGGAAATACTCTCTTGCTGTGCCGCTGTCTGGTCAGGAGGCAGTGGTTGCCTCTGCGTCGACCTGGAAACACCCTCGCTTCCCGCCGGGTAAGCTCCTCTTGGATGATCGCGAGGAGGATAGTACGTGGGATGCAGCTGTTAAGACGGTGATTGGCCGGGTTGAGGAAACGGTAGGTCGTGTGCGCTCGTTTGTCTTGGAGCAGGCCTATGGGGTATTGGATAGAGTTAGACGGGTGGAGAGGGTGGATTGATTGATTTATTGGTATCGTATTGGTATGGGGTCTGTGTTTGAACTAGGATTAATATATTTCTCGCTTCTTTCGGTGGTGTTTGGCATTCTTGTTCTTAAAATAATATATTTTGAATAATCTACTATTATTGACTTATGATATATAATGTTAATGGTATATATCTTATAAGACACAAAGATAAGTAAGCTTCCATAGTATAGATTGATGCCCCAGAGGGCCATTCAGATATTAGCGAAAAAGAAAAAAAAGATAAGCAAAAGTAAAATCAAGTCACGCCCAACACCATCATATGCTAGTTACAATCGACGAATGAGGTGAATGATGACTGAACTGAAGCAAGGCGTATATCCCCAGTCTCTTAAAAATCAAACGAAAAGAAGAGACGGAGACACAGGTGTAGTAATATAATCATGGAATGGTAACAACGCGAAAACATGAATCAAAAAGGAGTTTCGAAATGCGTGCATCATCGTCATCATCACAATCACCGTCCTCTACCGCGGCCTCCACCACCACCACCACCGCCACCGCCCATCAACCCACTCATCTGGCTCATCATACTTTGTAGATCCATTCCACCTAGACCGGGCAGACCACCGCCGCCTCCACCTCCCTGACCTTGCAGCATTTGCATCATCTTGGCCATGTCGCCCATGCCGGGCATACCGGGGAATCCACCACCGCCGGCACCACCCATTGCGGCCATGCGCTTCTGCATGGCGGCGAGCTGCTGCTCCTTGTTACCGCCCTTGAGCATGTTCTGGGCGCGCTGCATCTGCTTCTTCTGTCCGCCGACACGCTTGGCCATGCCGGCCATCATGCGGTGCTGGGAGAGCAGGTCTTCCACTTCACGGACGGTGGTACCGCTTCCGCAGGCGATACGGACCATGCGGCTGGGTTGTTCGACGAAATTCTTGCCGTCGCCGTCGAGTTCGGCGGCCGTCATACTGTCGAAGATGTAGATCATGCGACGGAGCTTCATGGAGCCGTCTTCGTCATCGAGACCCGCAGTCAGGTTGGAGAGACCGGGAATCATGCCGGAGAGCTTGGAGAGGGGTCCCATCTTCATGATGGAGGTGATGTTCTCGCGGAAGTCACGCAGCGTGTAGATACCTTCTGAGATGTGCTTGTAGGTTTCCTTGGCGGAGGCCGAGTCCTTGGTCACGGCTTGTACGTGCTCCACCAGTCCGGCCATATCACCCATACCCAGCAGCTTCTGGATGAAGGCCTTTGGCTCGAAGCGTTCCAGGTCCATCAGGTGCTCACCGGTACCGAGGTAGATGATGGGGGTGTGGGTGGCAGCGACGGCGGAAATAGCACCACCACCTGCGGCGTGACCATCCGTCTTGGTGATGATGATGGCTCCGAAGTCTGCGGTGGCCTTGAAGGCAGAGGACTGGGCTTCGGCAGCCTGACCGATGGTGCTGTCGAGGACGAGAATGGTCTGGTCGGGGGTGACGGCGGTCTGAATCTGGGTCATTTCGGTGAAGAGCTCTTCTTCCTGCTTGTGACGACCACTAGTATCGACAATGATGATTTCGAAACGCTCCTTCTTGAACTTGGCCACACCCTCGGCTGCCACAATGGCGGGGTCGGTTTGCGTCAAGCTACCGTAGTAGGGGATCTTGGCTTTGGTGGCATTCTGCTTCAGCTGATCGAAAGCACCAGCACGGAAGGTATCGGCACAGACGAGGGCAGTCTTGAAGCCGCGCATCTGGTAGTGGCGGGCCAGCTTGGTACAAGTGGTGGTTTTACCGGCACCCTGCAGACCGACGAACATGATCACGTTGGAGCGGCCCTTCTTGGGACGGAAGGGCTCCGCATGGGGATCAACCAGGGAAACTAGCTCATCGAAAACGGCCTTTTGAATCAAACGCTTCTTGTTCACGGCGGCAGGAAGAGAGGCAAAGTTGACGCTGGACTTGATGGACTTGCGGAGGGACTGGACCAGGCGAACGTTGACGTCGGCGGAAAGCAGAGCGGCGCAGATCTCTTTAATCATGTCATCAAAGGCCTATTTGCGGTCAGTACATACATCAGCCAGCGAAGAGGAATCTGATTCTCACCTTCTCGTCCAAATTGTTGGAGCGAGTCAGGTCATTGACAGCGGCGTTGATTCGCCGCCCGAGATCCTGAAGGACCATGGCGGGGGTATTCTTGTTGAAAGGGAATAAACCAAATTAAAGCATGTACAAATTAAAATATGCGTCGCTTGCTGCCAGAGTTCGTGAAAGGTGGCAGAGACGACAGTATAAAACGAATGGAGGATGCAGCGAGTTGGATGAATCGATGGACTGAGAGGCCAACTGCGCGGGCGAAGCGATGCGGAGAGCCCCGCGGCCAATCACAGCCGTGCGTTGCTGGCCGCCCGCGAGGGACCCAAAAATTGCTGGGAAAAAAAGTTCGGGATTCAATGCAAGTTCATTGCATTTTCCACTTCATATCTCCTCCCACATTCGGGTTTAAGTTATATTTCTTCCAGTCAATTTTTGAAATAGTTAATATCAACCGTCAAAATGCCTCCCCACATGAAAAAGCGCAAGGTCCTCGAGTCGTTGCAGGCCGGTCCCAAGAAGAAGTTCAGAAAGCAGCGCGAATACCACAGCAGCTCCGAAGAAGAGTCCGAAGACGATGAACCCACCGATTTCAAGGCTGTCAACTTGGCCGATTCCGACGATGAGGAAGTTCAAGTGAAGCAGCCCAAGAAGCAGACCAAGTCGATTGGCGCCTCTACGAAGAGCAAAGCGGCGGAGAAAGACGAAAGCTCCGACGAGGAGGAAGCCGACGAAGACGAGGAGGATGGTGATGTTGAGTCAGAAATCGATTCTGAAGGATCTGACGATGAAGAGGGTGCCGACTCCGATACTTCTGCACCTGCGACAACGGGTCGCAGAGCTGTCTCCAAGCGCAATGATCCCTCGGCCTTCTCCACCTCTATCGCGAAGATTCTGTCCACCAAACTCCCCACATCCGTTCGAGACGACCCCGTGCTGGCGCGCAGCAAAGCCGCCGCCCAGAAGAGCACCGACGTGGCGGAGGAGAAGCTGGATCGGCAAGCGCGGGCCAAGCTGCGTGCGGAGAAGAAGGAAGAGCTGGACCGTGGCCGTGTTCGCGATGTCATGGGTCTGGAGCGTGGCCAGGCGGGTGCCGTTGCTGAGGAGGAGAAGCGTTTGCGCAAGATTGCCCAGCGTGGTGTGGTGAAGCTGTTCAATGCCGTCCGCGCCGCTCAGGTGCGCGGAGAGGAAGCAGCCAAGGCAGAGCGCAAGAAGGGTACCGTTGGTATCGGCGAGCGCGAGAAGGCCGTGAACGAAGTCAGCAAGCAGGGCTTCTTGGACCTGATTAGCGGGAAGAAGGGCAAGCCGTTGAAGATCGAGGAGGCTTAAGGAGTTTTACGAGAAGTTTCTGTTCGCTGTTCAAGACCTGGCATACCTTGGGCGTTTGAGGGGTTGCTCTACTGTTGTTTCTGTTTCATTTTATCTCAAGTGTTTGGATTAAAAAGTGATATGCTATTTACAGGTACTTTCATGCCAAAAAGTGAATGGAGATCGGTATACCCAATAGAGACACGTTCGTTTACAAACCAATGAGCCCACAATAACCATAGATAGACCTGGAACCCCTCCCCAGTGTATGCGCTTGGATAATCATACAGTCCGTCCCTCATCCCCGGGCGCCTCTCGCATATACTCGTACAAAGCTCTCTTATTTCTTGGGCTCGAAGTCGCTTGCCTGCAAGTTTCGAGTCATCGACGGGAGCCGGACCACGAGACCATCGAGGTCCTTGCTCATGGCCACTTGACATCCCAACCGGGAGGTCTCCGTCAGACCGAACGCCAGATCCAGCATGTCGTTCTCGTCGTCCGACGGCTCTTCCATCTTATCAAACATGTCCGGGTCCTCAACGATCACATGGCAAGTCGAGCAGGCGCATGAGCCACCACAGGCACCTGCAAGTTTCCCGTGTTTGTCAGTCACTATGCCCCTATAATTCAGCGCATCCCCGATAACTGGCATTACACACCTTCCATCTCGATATCGTTTGCCTGTGCGATATCTAGCAAGTTGTCATCCTCAGAGACCTGGAGCTCAATCTTCACGCCATCCTTGTCGATGAACGTCACATTGATTCTGCGCATTAAACATTAGTATAGGTAGTGTACGAAGCCAGCGTTCGCGATGACTCACTCCTCCCCGGGCTTTGGCGGCGTGATATGGCCGTGCTGAGCACCGGCCGTGACGGAAAAGCTGCGGCGAGCCATCCATGACTGTTGGCTCGGGAAGTTCCTCCGGGCGTTTATGGACAGTCTGCTTGAGGCAATCACTCGGGGTGTCTGAGTCGAGTAGGAAGAGGTGAGGAAACTCTTGGATTGGGTGCGACCGATGCTGTTCCCGGCCTTGGGAACGGCATGACGCAGGTTCAGGCACGCTTCTTTCCAGAACGACATGGCGCAGGGATGCTGGGAGAAGACGGAGAGGAGGGAGGGATATTAAAGAAATAAAAAGAATACTTTTAGAGAGCGCAATGCGAGGGGAGAGGAGAGGAGAGGAGAGGAGAGGAGAAGCGGACCAGCAGAAGTGGAGAGGAAGAGAGAGAGCAACAGAGCGAATCCTGGGGCACGAAAAAAAGGCGAAGCCGAACAGCGGCGGGAAATTCGGGCTTCTTCATTCGTCGGCTTTGCTTTTTTCGCCTTCTTCTCCGAATTGCAAGCTTCAACCTGCTCTTCTTTCTTCCCCCTCTTGACCTTCCATCCTTATCCCCGAAACAACTAACTAATTCCCTCCCTTCTCCCTCTCATATCTTCCATCATGACTGCCCCGCTGGATGGGCCAAATCCCCTCCGTCCTTACTACATCCCTCCCCAAATCGGTCTGGACGCCTCCAATGTCTCCTCCCCTCCCGATGCGTCATCGTCAACTCAAGTTTTTGGTGGTTCGGCGCGCGATCTTCTGCCCGACCTGGACTACTCCGATTACCTCGACAACTCCCCCTCGGTGTCCAGCTGGATTCGCGATGCCTTGGACGAAGCACTCCGTCGATACCTCGGTGTGCTAACTGCCCAGCCCTTCGATGTCGCCAAAACCATTCTACAGACCTATGTGGCTCCCGATGATTCTGCGGAGGGACAATGGGCGATGCATGATCGCCGGAGCTCTGGGCTGGACAGTCAGGTCGACTCCTACGACGAAGATGTGTGTACACGACACAGACAATGGCCATGGGTGTGAAATAGCCAGCTAACATTATGTTCCCTTGGGGCATCCTTAGGAATCCCTCTCCTCCGACGATGAGAGCAGCTACTTCACATCGGCAGCTCCCGCAGTGCCAACACCCTCTACTCCCCGATCCCGGAAGCCTCGACGCCATATTACCGACCGGAGCGGCTACATCCCACCCCAGACCTCGTCATCTCGATATGCCTTGGCCATCAAGAACCCCTCCTCCTTGATGGAGGTGCTGGGCCAGCTGTGGAGCACCAGCGGGCCATCGTCGCCCTGGAAAGCGACCAACGCGACCTTCATCTATTCCCTGCTGCTCCCAACCTTGAACACCTTCATCCGCAGTCTGCTCTCCGCCATTGTTGGCCTGCCAGAGGAAGATGTAACTTCTTCCATGACCGCAGACATCCTGACGTCCACCGCCCCGGTCGCGACGTTGGTCCTGTCCTTCATCTCTTCGTCGCTGTCGGCGATGCTTCTCTCTCCCATTGACACTGCACGCACATTCCTCATTCTCACACCGGCCACTCACGGTCCCCGCTCGCTTCTGCGGGCTCTTCGCCAGATCCCAACCCCCAACTGCACCATCCCCCCTCACTTGATCCCGATCACCATCCTTCACTCCAGTCTCCCTAACTTCATCATCAACACAACCCCCCTGGTCTTGAAATCATACCTTTCCATTGATCCCGTGCTGAACCCGTCGGCATGGGGTCTTTTCACCTTCCTGAGCTCGGGCCTGGAGCTCGCAGTCCGGTTCCCTCTTGAAACCGTCCTTCGTCGCGCGCAAATCGCAACATTCACCTCCCCGAGTCTCCGGCAGCAGTCCCGCGGTACCATCCGCTCAGTATCCTCCCCCACTACTGCCGAGGCTCCGACGACTGAGGTCGAGACCATCGTGCCTACACCTCAAACCTACCGCGGCATCATCGGCACGATGTGGAGCATCGTCTACGAAGAGGGAGTGGCACCCGCGCCGGAGACTGATCGTGCGCGCCAGCTCATGAAGAAGCCCGTCGTACAGCGGAAACGCCAGGGCCAGGGTATCAAGGGATTATACCGGGGCTGGCGTATTGGCATGTGGGGGATTGCCGGGATTTGGGGCGCCAGTCTTATGGGCAGCTTCAGTGTGACCGGAGAGGATGAGTCGATGGCCAGCGGAGGTCGCTTCTAATGAATAGTCACTCATCGGGCTACCTTTCGCTTCCACCCAGATCTCCTCTCTAACTCTCGACCTCTCCTTTCATTCGTTGTTCCTTTCTTCGTTTAATACCAATACCAACTGACGCTGCTATGGGATGTACTTTATTTTATTGTTTTTACTTGCAGTTGTCATATCTACGGAGCAAGCGGAATGGAATCGGCGTTGGAGCCTGTCATCTTTACAATTTATATATTGTTCATGTAGATCATACAAATCAACATCTACCTACTCTTCATTCCACATTGTCACCACTACTCTGTTGCTCACTTCTAGATCAATCAATATAGTATAATAAGTCGTAGTAATTAACCCGAAATAGCCCACCCATTACTCTACTAATTCAACCAAACCCCAGCCTATACAAGTAAAAAAGTATAGAAAAAGTGTCTAGAACCACGAAATGATATAGTATATGGGAAATAAATAGATAGTAAGAAAAAAAACGCCATATCATTTATTTCATTTCACCCGTCTAAATGTAATCATATGGAACGAACTTCAATTCGTCCCGGTCTCTAGACAAGACAATCCTGGCAGTCCGGTCGTTATTATTTTTTAGGCTCTTTTTTGATCATTTTTCTTATGAGTGAATTTTTGTGTTGTTGAGGTTCCAGTTTCCCTCCTTCATGGTCACTTTTTGTGGTGGGGCGGATCGTAAGGGAAGGGTTCATAAATCCCTGGGTGGAGGGTGGGGGAGGAGAAAGGAGATGAATGGGTGAGGAGGGTATTATGGAAGAGGAGGGGGTTATCTCTCCCGTCCATGAGATGAGGGTAGGAAGGTGTGAGTGAGGTGTGTATGTATAATACAAACTCAGACATGCCATGAGTCAGGTTTGGGTATCATGAGAAATAAAAGCAGAATCAAAAAGGTGCCGAAAAGAAAGAGGCAAGAAGAATAAAAAAAAGGGTAGAGGAACAGAATGCAGAGGAAGATCATTTGTCGGCGAATCTCCGATCAAAGTAGCGTAGCACACCCATGACACTGGCGGCTTCGACTTCCAATGCGGCTCGGGAGCCTGGTTGCATAACCTCCTTTTGGCTCTGACTGGGATTGGGCAGAGTGTGAAGTTTGGGAAGCCACGAGGAAATATCATCGCTGGCTCGAGAGAAGTTCGGATGGCGGGAGAGGGTGGTGAAGGCATCGGCACAGGAGAGAGTTAGGGACGGAGTAGCCGAGCGGCGCGAGCTGGAAGTCTGTGGTTGTTGTTGAGTTGACCCGCTGCGTTGAGGGTTGGAGTTGCGCGACATGCAGCATCCACCATCGGCGCCTTTACCGCCGCAACATCCGGAGGGAGCAGCGCTGGCGGGGCGGGAGGCCGCCAGCGTCTTGCAAAAAAGGGTCCGCCTGGGATCGGCGAGACATTGGGCACAAGTACCTGGGCCATTGGCGCAAGGATTTGTCGCTTGGCTAATTGGCGGGAGGGTCACCTCGGACCGCACGTCGCCGTCGGAAGGGGGCGGCGTAAACTGCGACAGGTTCTGGATGGGTGCCAGACGATTGTTTTCAAACGAGTTCCGCCGGCGGCGCTCCTCTTCCTGGGCGGCCATTTCGGCACAAATGCATGGCGTGCCATCCTGGCAGAACCCACAAGGGTCGACGGCGGGCGAGGAGACATTAGTGACAGTGTCATCCTGGACGTGATGGGGGGCCGCGAATCGCGTTGTGAAATCGATCTCCATCTCCTCTGGCTCAGGCTTGATTTCGGGTTCGGCACGAGACTGGCTCGAGTTATCAGTACGCTTTGACTGAGTTGACGTCCGCTCGATGCCGGGCATGCCACTGAATGCATCTTCAATGCACTGACAGTGCACGTTCGAGCAGTTGCTACAGCCCAGGGGCACCTCCTCCCGCTCCTCGTGTATGTTATTTTCCACTGCCACTTGAGCGGCGGCTGAGTCTCTGGGTATGCGTGTCAAGGGTGCCTTGTCTGAGCGAGAGGCATTCTTGTCCGACAACGAGGACCGGAACTCCTTCACAAGGCTTTCCTTAGCGCTGCGCTCGACGGAGACCTCTTTTTCCAAAGCGTGGCACCGGTCACGCCACCAGGCCATTTCGCTCCGACATTGATCGACCTCATGAGAAAGGTTCGAGATCTGCTCCTTGAGTTGCACGACGTGGATCTCATGGTCGTCTTCGATTTTCTTGATCTGGTCCTCGAGTTCGTTAACGCGGGCCGCTCGACGCTCCCGGAAAGCTCTCTGGGCAGCTCGATTCTGCGCTTTGCGTTTGGTAGGGGGCGTGTCTGTGGCGGGCTTGCGGCCGGGTTTGGGACGAGGGGGGATCACCCATTCCTTGGAGGTGACGGAGCCGGGTGTGCCCGGACCGGGAGACGGTGAGATGGCTGGCTTGGCGGCCAATGCGGGTGCCAACGGAGCTGGACCGGGCGCAGGAGCGAGCGAGGGAGCTGGAGTGGCCATGGTATTTGGGAGACCTCTTTTTATTGTAAGAGGTGGCCTGGGTCGTGGTCAGCAGTCATAATTTTTCGCCGCGAGGAGCGGGTTGCGGGAGGTGTTTGGGGAGGGAAACGGACCAACAGGTGGGAAGGAAGAAGAAGTGGTGGTGTCACTTGATCGCTTCGGCGGCCGGAAGAGCGGAAGTGCGCCCCTTCAGCCGGTAAGCGAGACGAGGTGTGGTGCAGAGCACACCGGAGAAGATTGGGCGTGCAGCAGCAATGTGTTTTATCAATCTATGCCACGAAGCAGACAGAATAATGGGCAGGGATTGAACAAGGTATGGAAGAGGAAAGGACGAAGGTAAGGCAGAAATGAAAACAAGAGGGCGACCGAGGGAAGAAGAGGGGGAAAGAAGGCCGGGAAAAAGGTATCGGATCAGATTAGATTATCGTGCGCGTTCACCGACTTCGGAGTTACGGTGGGACGTTCCTCGCCCCCGTCTATTATTCGTCAGTCCCGCGCCAGCCCGATGGTTATCAATCACCCAGCTCGGACTTGTTTGGGGTTAGGGTACGTTATCCACCTATTCTTCCCCCAGGAGTAAATCTTGTACGCCAGGATTGCGTCGTTGCCCATTAGTTGATTCTAAAGCAGGGCTTGACGGTCAGCCTTATATGAACCGCGGAGTCTGCTCTGCTGCCTACCGACAGTACTACTTGAACTCTACATTTTCCACGCATCAGCATGGCCGATTACACGAAAAGTCCGAGATAAAAGTCGTGAGTCAATCATGACACTCTACACCTCCCATCCCACGGGACTCGAAATTCTCTCACCCCCCCAAAGGCCGCACATGTGGGTACAGGTCTTCTTCCCGTCCAGCCTCTGGTTGGTGGTTGTTCCACCCGCGATGAGCGCGGATTCCTTGGCAAGACCACTGTCTCCAGCAGAAGGAAAAAACCGAAAAGCACATGGCAAAAGCGGATGCTCTTAATATTTGCCTCAGTTATAACGGAGCGAGGCTGACACATAGAAACATGGACATTCGGCGTCGAGTCCCCAATGGCCCAGGTACTCCCTGACAAACGAAATGAAAAATGAAATCAAACGGGGCCTGTGATGAGCAATTAGAACAGAAGATGGAGCCAATTACCTCTGACCGGTTGAACGGTTTTCCAGTCGCAGAGACCCTTCAGGAATTCTTCTCCCTTTTTGACCAGACCGGAGCAGGCAAGACCCATCCCACACCTCCAACCCGCATGCACTGGGTTTTGGTTCATGATGGCTGGCATTATTCGGTACCACTGCTCCCTCCGTCGTCTGATCTTATCAGATTACGCTAGTCCATTTCGGGCAATCCGAACCATGAGTGTCGTAATGCACGAACCAAAACCTGTCGACGATCAGTCGAGGAAATCCGCCTCCTTAGCCGGGTTCAGTCTAGTGGGATGGGTATGGTGAAAACTCTTCCTGGTTACTTGCCTGCGTTATTGCCAGCAGTTGGAGCGCTCATGGTTGAAGTCATTTATTGTAAGTGTTTCAAAAGCCGATGAACGGAATCCCTTGGAGGCGAATACGGCCCGATTTTGGATAGCTGTCGTTGAACGCGGCAGACCGACTTTTTTTCCATGCAGAGACTTGCATGTTAACTTCCCTATCACTCAATTAATTGAGTCACAGCTGATATGTATGCGACATAAGTTACATATGAAGTTGGTAACCTGTGCTTCAAAAGTACGTAGTCAATAGGGATGCCTGCTATTCGCGGAAGCGACCGTTGTGACTGACAGAATTCTCCCTCCACCGATCATCGCTCGTTTCTTGATTTTCGGGTTGCCTTCTTCCATTCCTTATTTTTTGCCCTCTGGGTCCCACCAAGTACTACCTCCGTACCCCCATTCGCTGGAATCCAAGACGTCTGGCAGAATATTTGTGATTTGCATTATTCGTCACGTAAAGTACAAGGTTGAGAAGTGTCCATCAATTAAACAAAACATTAGACAGTATAAGCAGCATTTACAGATCAACCAGAGCTGGCGATCCCGTTGAGGGATGAGCTGAGTGCTTGGTTTGGACAAAGACCTTCTGGATACCTCCCTCGCGATGATCAAACAATTCGTACAGTTTGTCCATATCCTCCAGGCGGACGCGATGGGATACAATATCCAATGGATTGATCTCACCCTTCTGGATCTGCTCGAGGAGATACTTCCAATACTTCTGAACTGGAGCCTGGCCATTGCCAATGAGCCGGACACCTGTCTGCATCAAAGCACCGATGTTGAAATGGTTTGTCTAGTAGTCGTTAGTTCACTGAATAAAGTCATAGGTAAATGTGGTTGTCACGTACATAACCAGCGTAGACACCTGTAACTCCCACGCGGCCAAAAGGTCGGACAGATGTAATCATCTCGTTCAACATCTCTGAAGTGTCTGTCTCCATGCCCAAGAGCATCTCGAAATAATGTGCCCATCCTTTGGCGTACTCACCCGCCGTACAATCCAAAGCAACATCTGGTCCTCCAGGGACCATCTTCTTCAACTGAGATGTAATGGATTCCCCTCTGGGCAGCTTGGTGAAGTTCAAGGTCTCAAGCTTCGGGATCTTGCTCTGGACGAAATCCAAGCGCCAGGCCGCCTCTCCTCCATCAATGAGGATGACTCTACTGGCACCTTGTGAGAAGCTGAAGCTAGCCACCATTTGACCAATGGGCCCGGCACCCCAGACCGCAACTACATCGCCTTCATTTACCCCGGTGTCGACCACACAGTGGTACGAAGTGGCCAGGACGTCGGACAGATACAATGCTTTCTCGTCTGGGACATCATCCGGAAGCTTCAGGAGGTTGACATCACCATATGGAACTCTGACATACTCTGCTTGACCACCAGCAAAGCCTCCAGTGAAGTGGCTGTAGCCAAAGATGCCTGCCAGGATACAGGTTAGCAGCAAGTCTTGAGATAAGATATTAGAAATAGTATGAAATGGGTAATATACCGGACGTCCGTTTGCCATACATGGCATTTGTGACAGAATTCTGGTTGGTGCGTTCGCATTGGGAGGTCAGCTGCTTCTTGCAGTTCCGACACTCGCCGCACGCAATGGGGAAAGCTGCCACCACTCGATCTCCCTTTTTCACCTTCTTCGCTCCTGGTCCTACACTCTCAACAACACCGCAAAATTCATGACCCAAGACATCACCTTTCTCGAGCTGAGGGATGACACCTGCACGAACCAACAGCGGTTAGAGCGCCGCGAAAAATGGCGAGACATACTCGGGCACAGAACACATACCATGATATAGATGGAGGTCACTTCCGCAGATAGTGCTGCCAGTCACCTTGACAAGTACGTCTCCTTCATCCACAACTCGTGGTTTAGGCATCTCCACTAATCACACAGGGTCAGATAAAGGAAAGGAGGAAGCCAAGCCGATACCGATTCTACTTACCAACCTCGACATGGTTCTTTCCTGTCCAGATGGTCGCCTTAATTTTCTCACCAGTCTCCTGGCCATACTCCCCATAATAATTGCTCACATCCGTGGTGACGGAGGCGTTGCCGCTATGTCCGACTGCCTTCTCCACGAGGTTGGCAGCTTGTGTTGCGGCCATAATTGCGATTGGATTTGATATCTTAAGTGAATAAGGATATTTACTCGTTATTACAAGATTTGCAGAAGGATCAATGGTGCAGGATTACGGGGCGCATGGGGGTATTTGTCTCGCCTCTCGCGGGGCCTCCATAGCTGACATCACCGTGAGGTCGGTGCCTGTCATGCTTGCAATGCTCTCCAGCAATGGTACCCCATTTCTGGTTCAAAGCTTGAAACAAAGCCGGTCGCCGACCCTGCGGCACGCAGTGATAGGCAACGTTTGGGACCCGACTTACTGTCCTTTGGTGCTACCCAGAGTCCATTGCTTCAGAGAGCTCTCTCTGAAATGACGTCATTTATCAACAACATTCAATGGCCTCGACAATTAGACAGTTCGTCAACTGGCCCGTCACGATGTTGACATAGCACATGGCACATGAGGTAATTCCCAAATATACAAATACACAGTTTTGGGAGGCACAAGGTCTGGGCCCTGTCAGCTGCACTGTCGTTGCTTGTCGATGTTGGAGCTGGCCGCGTTGCAGATCTCATCTCGCCCGTCGCTTATCGCGAGTCGGGTCTAACTTTAGATGCATGATTCTGCATTGATAGCTCGATTTATTCTCTTGGGTTACTCATGCTTCGTGTTGTCAACAGTTGTCAACAGTTGTCAACATGAAGCACTTCTGCCTAAAAGCTCTCGGGTGCACTGCCAAGCCGGTCCCCGCCATTTATGATCTCTATCTTCCCCGTGTCATCGAAGCTGTACAGCACCCGGCTGAACGCCCTAAAATCTCCGTCGCTGTGACTTCTTGAAGAGGGTGCCTCTGATTACCGAATAAGAAGCTTGCTCCTTGGGCCAATAAGACGCCCTTCATTCCCGCCGGCTCACTCGTGTCTTGGCCGGATTCTTCGCGACGCCCTGGTCTCCCTCCTCAAATTCCATCATGAAACACCTCGATCGTTGGCTAGACCGGATTACCCGTCATGCCAAAGAGATATTGGAGCCATCCTCCACGCCTGTTGAGCAGACGGGTCCACCGCCCAATCAGCAGTATCACCGTCCTCCGCCGCCATTACCTCCAGGTTTGTACCGAAATTTCATAATTGTTCACCCATTCCTGAAAGCTGTGATTGATTCTATTGGGAAATGATCGGCTTGATCTTGCCATTAAGCTGTTTCCCTTCATTCTGTCGCTCTCGTATCCGTCTGCTTTGTTCCTGTTATAGGGATACCTTTTGGAGAAGTATGAGTGATCCCGTGTGTTTATATTGTAGATCGCCTATGTATCATGTACTTATTGGCTTGGAAAAGTCGAGACCGCACCTTCGACACTTAGCGACTGAATTTGTATACGAAACCAAAGTATACACAGTTAGGCGTGCTTATGTTGTGCTCAAGATAGCACTACTTTGCTTTCAGTTGTC